TATCATGGAAAAGCAAGAAACAAAGTGTTGTTGCTCGATCTAGTGCAGAAGCTGAATATCGATCTATGGCCATAGCAACATGTGAACTTATTTGGATCAAACAACTCCTTCAAGAATTAAAATTCTGTGAAAATAAGCCTATGAAGTTGTATTGTGATAACCAAGCAGCTCTTCACATTGCCTCCAATCCAGTGTTCCATGAAAGAACAAAATATATAGAAATTGATTGTCATTCATGAGAGAGAAGTTGTTGTCCAAGGATCTCATTACAGAGTTTGTCAATTCTAATGAATAATTTGCAGATATTTTGACTAAGTCTTTAAGAGGGTCTTGGATTCAGTTTATATGTTCCAAGCTTGGTGCATATGATCTATATGCTCCAGCTTGAGGGGGAGTGTTGAAATGTATTAAGTTTATGTTGTTTTTGTGTGTGAACACCCAACTTAAGAGGTGGGTTGTATTCTGTCATGTATATAGAATACCAAAACCTTGTAAGAGTGAATGAATGAATAAAATGTTTCAGTTAGTTCTCTAACAATAACATGTCAACTTAAGACCGTAAAGAAGTTAGATGAGAAGTACTCTTTGACATTGTCACTTAAAAATTTTAATTATTTGACCGACTTGATTTCACTAAAAAAGGATGTGAAGATAGGCTACAATTCTGAACGGTCTTACATAAGATAAACTCAAGTACATCTCGAATATTCATCAATATACATGTCAAAGTATCTACAACTGAAAAATGAGACACGACTAGGGCCTCCAAATACCAAAATGGACAATAGAAAAACTAGAATTATACCTTGACTCAGTTCTTTTAGGGAAAGAAGATTTAACATGTTTTCCTAGTTGATCGGACTCACATTTTAAAGTTTGAAGACTACTAAATTTAGGGACCAATTTTTTTAATTTTGATAAATTAGGATGGCCTAACCGATCATTTAAATGTTTAGGACTTGGAGATACAAAACATGACACATGTGGACTAGATCCAAATAATAACCTTCTAAATTCATGTCCTTCTCCAATCCGTAGATAACCCCTTTACTGTGCTTGGAAAAGAACAAACAAGGAGCAAAATAGAGAGAGGGGGGATCTGCGAACCCAATTGAGGTGGCGCGACGTTGTTCTGGATGGTGGAAGGTGGCACGTGAGCTTCACACGCTAGATCGTGGTGAAGAGAAACAAGGTGGGGGACGGCGGAGACAGGGTCTAGGAGCGGCAGGGGTGGCTGTTGCTCAGAGAGGCAATTTAGATCCATTGGTCATTGGACAGAATTGTTACAGTGGCTGCTCGCCGGTGTATGGCGAGAGAAAAAACAGCAAAAAACATGTCTGAGATGGCTAAGACAGGTAGACTAGGATCGACTTGCTTTGATACCAACTTAATGTTAAACAAAGGGAAAAATATATTTTTCAGGGGATAATTCACACCCTTCCTCTACGCGTGTATATGTAGAGTTTTAGGGAGCTATGATACATAAAATGACAACTGCCTATGAACGGGAAAGCCACTAAAGCATACAACTCACACAACTAGCAATAATTAACATACAGCTAGCATTTTCTTATTCTAACAGGAGTATTTTTATGTACTGAACTTCTCCACTCTCTGATGTATATTCTCTGTTCTTCTAAATTTTAAGAATCTAATATTCATTTATCCCAAAATGAAAATGATTGATTTTAGGGAGACTTTTGTTATCATATTCCAAAGCTGATTCTGTAAATATCTTGCAGAGGTAAATTGCTGGCAGGATTGGTTGGTCTTCTCTGATATATTCTATTTTCTTATTAAAAGTGGGTGCATTGATTTTGTTGATTTTGTGGACAAGCTGGTTTCACGACTTACAGAGGGTGATCATCATATACTTAAGACCAATCATGTGACCTGGTTGCTTGCACAGATAATTCGAATTGAGCAAGTTATGAATGCTTTGAACACTGATCCTAGAAAGGTAGTTAATTAAATGCAAAACCTTGTTATTTTATCTTGCTTCCAGTATGGACAAACAGTAAATTGTAGATCTACTTTTTTTGTGATCCAAACATAAAACATTTTCTAATGTTCTGTAAAATACACATTTTTTCTAGCCTCTAAATTCTTATCAAGAATGCAAAACCTTGTTATTTTATATTGCTTCCATTATGGACAAACAGTAAATTGTAGCTCTACTGTTTTTGTGATCCAAACATAACATTTTTTAATGTTATGTAAAATACACATTTTTTCTGGCCTCCAAATTCTTATCAAGAAATAAATATATATTTTTTTTCATACCCAGATTTACTAATTTCGTACAATTTAATGGAAGAACTGGTATTGGCAGTTGTGATAATACAGAAATAAGTGTCATCTTTATGGTTACAAATATCGGGATCATATCTTTATTAGATGATATAAAATCTCCTCTAATTATTGTATTGATTTCCTTTTCTCAGTATAAGTAAACCATCTATGCTATTGTAGAAACAAGGCTCAAACTCCATTCTTCTTTTTATCTTCACAATTTATCATGATATTATAGTGTAAATCACTGGTGAGCCTCCCTAGTCAACATCAGAACACCCAACAATTTAATTATTTCTATTATCTTCCTAAATAAGGCCTTTGTTGGGGCATTCTTAATATATCTTAGGATCTGTACAACAACATCCCAATGTAAGGAGAATTCAAAAGTTGACATACTATGCTCATTGAAAGGGCAAGGTCACAGTGAATCATAGTAAGATACTTTAGGTTGCCAATTAACCATCTGCATCTCTCAGGATCTGGATATGACTCTTCTTGGTTTGGTACAAGTTTGATACTTGGATCATTGGTATGTCTTTGGCTTAGCATTTAACATCCTTTTTTCTTCTAAAATATTTGAAGCATATTTCTTTGTGATATGAGCAAACCAACCTTGGACTAAGAAACTTTCATACTAAGGAAATACCACAATTGACTAAGGTTTTTTTGTTTGGAACTATTCAGCATGATATTGTTTTAGATGGACAATACCCTCCATATCATTCCAAACTGCTGAATCACAATTTGAAAATGTCCAAACCATGCATGAGATGATTCCTTAAGGCCGTTAAGGCACTTGCAAAGATAACACACCTCATTAGACAACTCCCCTAGAACAACTAATATGCGGAAGGTTAGTGGAGAAATGCATTCTTTAGCAACAAAGAGAATGTGTTAGTGTAATCTTTGTAGGTGTACATCCTTTAGCAACCAAATAAGCTTTATAACGATGAATGTTCCCATCAGCACCAGTTTTAAGAGTGTATAGCCATTGAAACCCAACAATTGTTTTTCCAGTTGGAAGAGAAACCAACTCCCAAGTACCACTAATATGAAAGACCCAAATCTCGTCAATCATAGCTTGTTTCCATTCTGTTTGAGATAAAACTTCATTTAGGGAGTTATGAGTAGCCACAAAAGTTAAAAGGGAGACATGAGTATAGTGCATGGAGGAAAGATGATGATACCTGAGGTTAATGTAGTGTTGGTTGGGTGGGGGGGTGTTATGGGTAGAATGCATACTTTTTCGAACCAGTTGACTTCAAAATTTGAGGTTGAATTAGACATGAGTGATAGTGTCGAAGAAGGGCTAGAGATTGGTATATTTGAAGAGGTGTTGGAGAAACATCCCTAGGATTGGCAGAGTCATTTTGGTGGTGATGAAAGAAGATTGAGAAAGGAGGGGAAGTGACTGCATATGTCCTGGTTAGAAGGAAATCACGTATGGATATACCAAATTGTTTTCTAATTTCATTGTAAAATGTGTGGAAGATAGAAAACAACTCTGATTGATTTTTCATGAACCAAATCCTAGTACCTTAAAAATAATCATCAATAAAGGAAACCACATTTAAAACCAAAGAGGTAACAGTGAGAGGAGGATCACAAGTATTAAAGGGAACTAAGAAAAAAGGAGACAAAACTTGTTTATTAATGCTACCAGAAAAGATTGATGCATGTGTTTATCTAACTGACGCGACTCACGATTTAAGCTTACACTTGGCACCATCTTCTACAATTTTGTCAATCTAGGATATCCTAATTGCTCATGAATCATCATTGGAGAAATGGTAGACACACATACAAGTGTTGATGGAGAGAGATAATACAGGCCATGTGGCTTGTCAGTCTCAATATCCGAACCTGCAAGGTGTTAGTATTTTTAGTGAATTTGAGTTTAATGTCATGGGATTTGGTCAATTGGGTAATGGACAGTAAATTAAATGGATAATTAATGAACAAAATCAAGAATAAGGGTTGGAAGTCGTTGGGTAGTGTCAATGCCATAGACTTGTGCATGTAAACTATTGACAATGATGATAGAGAGTATTTTGTCAGTAGTAGTAAGGGATTGCAAAGTCTTGATGTCCCAACCGTACAAAGCACAACCCTTAATAGGCATCCAGACTCACCTGAGGTACCAAAATCTCCACACTAGAAAAATTGTAGTCTAGAGTCCAGAGATATCAGTACTACTAGATTTGTCAACACTAGTAAACAACTGACATACTATTCACCAAGTCTCCAAAAGGACCACAAATTAATCACATTTTGTAGCAAGTTGAGCATATATGACTTATATGCTCTAATGCAAGGGGGAGTGTTATAATTATATAAATAAGAATCATATGTTTATAATTTTATATATTAGGATTATAGAATTGTATATGTTCTGAATGAATTGTGTGTCAAATGCAGACCACACAATATGTATTTATAGTATAATATAGAATCAATTATAATAAATACACCTAATAATTAGGAATGAATCATCATAGTTTCACATATTATGTAATGCTTAATTTCCTAGAAATTTGTAAGCATATATGTCTTATGTACAAAGCTTGTTACAAATGTACTCAATCCAAGGGCCTTTAAGGGACTTGGTGAGCTTGTAAGCTAATTGATTATTAGAGTTGACAAAATCAATAGGAACAGTAGCTGAAGCCATGGAAAAAAGTACCAAAAATGGGATAAAAAGCACTGCTAGGGTATGAGGTAGACAGGTTGAAGCATAGTCTGCCAGGTTAAAGCACGGTTTGCCGAGTTAAAGCATAGTCTGCCGGGTTGGAGCACGGTTGGCCAGGTTGGAGCACGATTGGTCGGGTTGGAGCACGGTCAGCTGGGTTGAAGCGGTGAATGAAGGGCAATGGTTGCCAGAGGAAGTCGATCTTGATCGCGGTGGTCACCAGAGGAAAAGGATGCTTGATAACAAAGGAAAGGGTCACACTGTGGTTGACGGTGAATAGAGGCAACAAATAATGGACAATAGCGAAAGAGGCACGACAGAGAACTGAAATTAGGAGAATAGTACTAAGGTACTCAGACACAAGTGTTTTTATAGTCGACGACGACCATGGCGGGTGGCAAAGATCGTTGTGGAAGAAACTCAAATACCATATAAAATTGTGTATGTTCTGAATGAATTGTGTATCCAATGCTAACCACACAACATGTATTTATAGCATAATATCAATTATAATAAATACACCTAATAATTAGGAATCAATCATCCTAATTTCCCATATTATGTAATGTCTAATTTCTTATAAATTTGTAACAACTGATTTCATTCTAACAGGGATCATATATTTGTAATAAAAGATGTCAAGATCATATCTTTGTTATAAGAGAATTCAAATCTCCTACAATTGAATTAATTTCTTGAATATAAATGAACCATTCGTGCAATCACAGAAACAAACTGTTTAAGCTCAGTGCTTCTCTTTATCTTTATAGTTTAGCAACAATAATACTTGTGTTGGTGTGTCATGGAAGTTTTATATTATGTTGTGCTAGGAACACTGTAACTGATGTGTAATATGGCACTGCATGGTAGGTGGAGACAACCAGAAAGATTTTATCATTCCATAGAGAAGACAAAAGTTCGGATCCTAATAATTCTCAAAGTATCTTGCTTGATTTTGTGAGCAGCTGTCAAAATTTACGTATTTGGTCGCTTAACTCATCAACCAGGGAATATCTGAACAATGAACAGCTTCAAAAAGGAAAGCAAATAGATGAATGGTGGAGACAAGCGAGCAAAGGTACACCAGAACACGATTATTTCACCCTAGTTTATCTTATTACATTGTCAAATCACTAATTTTTTACTGTTTATTTGGAAGATTATTTTGAAATATCATAATTTAACTTGCTCAAGTGTATGGTTTTGAAAAAAAACGTGAAGTTTTCATCTTTTTTATAAAAGTTTATGTGCCCTCTTATGGACATGGAAAAACTACAAATATGTATATTAATATGTATTACAAATTGTTGTATTTAGAGGAAAATCTTCCTAATTAGAGAAAATACATATAGAATCTTTCTAATTAGAGAAAATATTTTTAGAATCTTAGTTTATTTTTTCAATATAATGTTTCCTTATTTTTTTTTTTTTGGAAGATTAGATTGTTACAAATAGGTGTAAGGAGAATGTAACATGAATGATAATAATAAAATTCATTCTCTTTTGAAGTTGGTATCAGAACTCCTGATCTTGGGAGCTCTGTTTCTGTAGCCACTGCCACCTCTGTCTGGCCACTGCTGCTACCACCGTAGTTGTTGGTCGTCGAAAGGGCGGAATGGTGCACCCAACTCTAGCAAACACAATGTCAGAAATTGATCCAAGAATATGCTATTCCAGAGTGATCTATTTAAAATAATAACACTGATAAAGATTATAAATCGGTTCTATTTTAAAGATGTAAGGAATCAACAAACAAAAGTACTAACGCACAAACACCTATACTGTTACAAAGACAGTAGCTGGAAGCAGTTTTATTATTTTACAACAGTTACAACAATAAAAAACACCAGTGTAAACAAAACTACCCTCAAAAAGAGTAAAACCATCAACTCCAAGTGAGGTTCTATTTATTAGGTCCTTACCCACAACCACATAACTAACTACCCGGTTATAACTAATTGCAGTGTAGTCCATAATAATTAAATGCTCCTATTTCCAATAGTTCTGTACATTTTATAATATTTGACAGTTTTCTGAAATATTGTTCTGTTTTAGTTAAATGATCATTGCAGTGTTTTTTTGGTTGCATTATTATAACATACACTTGAATTTTAGGGGACAGAATGATGGATTATATGAATATGGATGAACGCTCGATAGGGATGTTTTGGGTTGTGACCTACACAATGGCACAACCTGCTTGTGAAACAGTAATGAATTGGTTAAATTCTGCCGGAGTTGCTGACTTAATGCCAGGAACAAATATGCAGCCTGCTGAGAGATTAATGGCTACACGAGAAGTGAGCCCACTGCCCATGTCATTGTTAGCTGGATTTTCAATAAACTTGTGCGTGAAGTTGTCTTATCAAATGGAAGATTCTCTATTTTCTGGGCAGGTTATTAAACTCTCTCTCTCTCTCTCTCTCTGTCATGTTAAGTAAGATTCCTTTACCAATATGATTGTTTTGCTCCATACCTTTTCTTATTATATAAGTATGCACCAGCACCACCATTGATAGGTTTCCGAACAAGAAACCCAACCAAGAACTCCCTCACAGTCTCTCACACCAAGAAAACAGAGAGATATATGATGAATTGTATATTATTAACAGAAAGAATAGTGTGTTTTTACAAGATGCAGAGACATAACCCTCTTCACAGGTCTAAAGCCTGTCAACAAACAATGTACTCAAAATCTGCCTTCTAACTATCCAATCAATCTATTTATACAATTCCTCTGCCTTTTATCCTAATCCCCTTTCCCATTATATCCAAATACCCTATATCCTAACAACCATGCTATTCGGAATCCCAACTAAGTTAACACTCTAGATAACATCAATCACTTGTAGCATACTCAAATATTATTAATAACAAATGCAATATCACTTGTACCTCTTATTTCACAAACATAACTCCATCCATGAAAGAAAGCAAATAATCTTTCCATTCTATCAGCAATAGGCATGAAATGATTTTTTTTGGTTTTCCTTTGAAAATAGGCACACCAAGATATAACAATAGAATGTACTTGAAGAGAAACCTAACAGATCAATAATTCTACCTCGTGCAGCAGCAGGGGTAGGACCAGAATAGAATTTTGATTTTGATTTATTCTTTTGGCCACTTGCCTCTTCATATCTTTGCAATACAGCCATAAGATTCTTCAAATTGCTGATATTACCTCTATACAATAAATCATGATGTCATCTGCATAAAGAGAGTGTTTAGGAAAATTATATCCACTAGGAACAAACCATCCCTGTGTAATTTATCAATGCTCCTACTGAGAACTTCTGCTAAGCAAAAAAGAAAAGGAGAAAGTGGCTTTTAATAGTACAATCTGTACGACCATTGAGAAACGCCTAGTTATGATTTTTTTCAGTAAGGATTTCTTCTTCCAAGATGGTGATGAATAATGCTAGTGCATCTCTTATAGGTCAGAGGATATGATAGGTTGCTAGATAGAGGAATCCAAGAACACCATTGCAAAACACCCAACTCACTGAAAAGATCCTGTATTATTGATTCTAGGCACCAAGAACAGCAAGAATGCCTCCAAGGGACAATGTTCCCTTCACACAGGATGCCAATGATCCTGTCAACAATTCTCTAAAACATCCAAAAGCATCCCCTGCCTACAAAGACCCCCTCATTAAATAAAGGAAGTCTCACTCAACCTAACAACCCAACTAACAACTAATTTTTAATTTGTTTCCTCCTATCATACACATTATATCCTAGCATTACACACCACTACAGAACAATCTTGTCTTCAAGGTTGGAATGGTGAAGCTTGATCTGATGGCTCATCTTCATCAACATGTAATCATAAGAAGGGAACCCATTGGCTATTGTCCGCCAATTCAGGTCTGGATGCTTGGGAGGTGGTCGATATGACTCCTTCTGTTCCATTAATGATAAGAACTGCTTAAAATCAAAAGACCTGGAAAACCAGTGACTTCTTGCACGACTCAATTTCTATAGCATATCTTTGCGACAACTCTTGTTTTCTCATTTCTACTTCTAGATCTTCCATAATTACTTGGCCGTCCCCATAAAGCACAAGTGTCACAATATGCTTTAAAACTGTTTGCACTGCTTCCATTACTGAAGTTTCTTTCCTACCATCTTTACTTTCCTCCATTGTGAGTAATTCAAGATGGCTAGTTAAAAACAACTCTGCAAGAAAACCAGAAATTCCTTTGTAGCCATTGATAGAAGCAAGATCTACAGGTGTTATAACATCAGGAAATTCAGGATATGGATTTGTAACTGCTATAGTGGATGCACCCCTGGACACCAGGGCCTCAACTGGGTTGCTCCCTGACCCCACTATTTTAACCCCAGGCCTCAACAATTCTGCTCTCTCCTCATCTGGTTTACTAATTTGTGTAGATCTATCTTCCCTTTTCTCTTCATCATTAGCCAAGTACTCTCCTTCTGCAGAGAATTTATTGCCTTTCATGACAGATTTCTCACTTCCTTTTGAGCCCCTTCCATGATTTATGGGTTCTTGTAGCATGTCTTTCTTTTCTTGGACGATTTCTCTTATTTCTTGCACAATGTCTTTTTTTTCTGTAATGGCTCTTCCTTATTTGTTGGCCCCTTTCTCCAAAGTATTTACTCTTTCTTTCATCACCTCCTCAACCTCGTCCTTCCTTCCCCTTCTTTCCCCATCCACCGACCCTTGACTGCCCTCCGAATTCTTGTCTAAAATCTTGGAGTTTTTCATAAAATCTCTAAACATCTCCTTAAGTTCTTGATGATCCTCTTTTAGTTCCTCTTTTAGAAGAATCCAAGAACACCACTGCAAAACACCCAAACTCACTGAAAAGATCCTGTATTATTGATTCTAGGCACCAAGAGCAGCAAGAATGCCTCCAAGGGACAATTTTCCCTTCACACAGGATGCCAATGATCCTGTCAACAATTCTCTAAAACATCCAAAGACATCCCCTGCCTACAAAGACCCCCCACTATATAAAGGAAGTCTCACTCAACCTAACAACCCAACTAACAACTAATTTTTAATTTGTTTCCTCCTATCATACACATTATATCGTATCAGGATAACTACAGTCTGATATTTTTACTTGATACTGCAGGTTATACCCAGCATTGCAATGGTTGAAACTTATACCAGATTGCTGCTCTTAGCACCTCATTCACTCTTCCGTTCGCATTTCAATGTAATATTCTTCCCCCTTTGATGATAACATTTTTTTTCTTTATTATTTGGTTTTTGTACATAAAATTGTGTTATTTTTTGAATTTATTAAATGTTAGACGGAAGTAATTCTACTTTATCATTTGTTGAAATGGGAAATTGAATGTTAAATGAGTTATGCCTGTGGCAGAACTTTATTTTCTGGAAGTCATCGGGCTGCTTTTTTTTATCTTTATCTTGAAAAGAAGTCATATGGACAAATAAAGTAGGTGATCTAGCTTGTTACTGTGAATCTTTAATGTTAAATTACTTTGGTGAAAAACAAGAATGAGAACTAAAAGTCTAAAATAGTGCAATATAGATTTGTGTTTGTCACGTTTACTTGTTCATATAGAATCTAGCGTTCCCTAATTCTTATCCTTTTCCAGGCTTCATATTTTAGTCATTTTTGCTGCTCATTTGTATTCTTTATTTATTTAACCTTTTTTGTTCTCGCTAACTGATACAATGATTATCTCTAAAAAATGTGATTTATTACAGCATCTGGTTCAAAGAAATCCTTCTTTGTTGAGCAAACCTGGGGTAACACTTTTAGTGCTTGAGATATTGAACTACCGACTACTTCCACTTTACAGGTGATTATATCTAGACTTTAATACCATGTTCTGTCAGTGTAAAACCAACCAGAAGTCGCTGTTGGTATAATTTTTAAGGTAATTGTTATGAAAGTTAGCACACGATAGAAGGTTCTGGTTGTTGTGATTCGGTAAGTGCAAAATTGTTTTAGACTGACAAATGTGTAGACTATTTTCTCATTTAAGTCACAGAATTTATTTTCTTCTGTAAAATTTTTATTTTAACTGTATAGACATTTTTTTTTCGTTTCTAACATGTTCATGTTTTAAACTCATGTTAGAATTAAATTATGCTTTATGGTCCCATCTAGGCTTTTGCCCCAAAATTTATCTCTAGTTTCCAGAAATCAACATAGATGTGCAGATATCTTTTATTTTTAATTGAACCAGACATTAAAATTATGTTTCATAGTGTGAGAAAATCATGGTTGGTAGAATTCGAGGGAAGCATGGTTATCAAAATCACAGTCAAACGAGTTTACGTTCTCACACCCCTAAAATGATTTAACTCGTAGGTAGAATTGTTTTTTGATAGGCTCGTGTAAACTTGGCAAACTTGGTTAAACTTGTGTGAAATCGCAAATTTAGAGGCAATTCTGGGAGCTCAATTGGTCATTAGAAATTAGCTAGAAATGCCACTGACTTTGTTTGGTTCTAGGTCAATATATATGTAGAACGCATATAAGGAATGATTTCATGGTTCATTGGCTCTCTCTGGCAATAATCTGGCTGCTTTGGGTGTTGATGTTGATTCACCTATTGCACCAACAAATTTCTCCTATATCTTCTCCGCTATGCTCCATCTTTGTGTTTTTGTTCTTTATTCTTATCCACGCTTTGCCATATCTTACTATTTTCAATTTTCTCTCCACCTCAGTTTTAAGGTCAGCGGCACAAACATGTTAGGGTTTTAACTTTTTCAGTTTTAGTCACCTCTTATTGTTTTGGACCATTGGGCCCCTTTACTATGCTGAACTTTTTGGCCAACATTTAAGTTCAACAACTTTTATTTATGTGAAGTATAAACTATAATCAATAAAAATTATGATGAAAGAATAATAGTATTAGAGAAAAATATTTAAAAATATATAATATGATAAACTAATAATTATAATACTGTAAAAAGAAATATTTATAACATTATAAATATTAAATTATTATGTTATTTATTTATATTTTAAAATATTTTTATATGAAGTAAACTCTTATGAGTTTATGATTCGAGTCTACGAATCTCTCACGAGCTTACGTAAACTCTCGAGTTTGACAATCTTAAAGGGAATACAGAATTGAGAAAAAGGTGTAAGCTGTATTCTAAGTGTAGTCTGGGGTAGAGTTGCATTTATATAGAGGTTAGTGAGCAGCATCGCAGACCAGAGCAGATAGCAGAACCATAGCTGGTAATAGTATAACTAACTACTGTTCAATGAGGGGAAACAGGTGCTAAGAACCATGTGTTTGAACTACATCACGGCCTTTGATTTACGTAGGGTCATTTCAATAAATACAAGCATTTATATAGGGATTTTGTTCCTATAATCATGATATATGATATGCCATAAAATAAAATGTATCATAGTTGCAAATATGTGATCAGATTTTCATCTGACTCAAATCAGAATTTCAACATAATACAACATAACATAATAAACAATAGCCATCTGCAGTAACTATTGCCACCTAAGTTTTCACTGTAGCTATATCCTAAAATAAATATAAAATTTCCATTTGTAGATACCAGGGAAAAAGCAAAGCCCTAATGTATGATGTTACAAAGATAATTTCGGCTATAAAAGGAAAACGAGGAGATCATCGAGTATTCAGATTAGCTGAAAACCTGTGCCTGAATCTTATTTTCTCGTTGCGTGACTTTTTCTTGGTTAAAAGGGAAGGAAAGGTACTTGCTTTTTTGTCTCAAAGCTGAAAACTGTATTCTTTATTCTTTTGTCAAGTACTAGTAGTCACTCGAAGCTAAACAAGACTTGTTTTATTTCCTGGACTATTTGCAGGGCCCGACAGACTTCACTGAAACTTTGAATCGAGTGACTGTTATAACTCTTGCTATCCTAATTAAAACTCGTGGAATTGCTGATGCTGAACACCTCCTTTACCTACAAAATATGTTGGAACAAATCATGGCAACTAGCAATCATACGTGGTCAGAGAAAACACTACATCACTTCCCTTCTGTTCTTCGTGAAGCATTGAGTGGTCGAACTGATAAAAGAAGCCTTGCTATACAAACATGGCAGCAGGTTTTTTATTCAAATTATGTTGCCATATCTATTGCATGTTTTGTAGATGAGAAAGAATAAAGTACATGATGGACCCAAATTTTGGTTTCATCTTGCAGAATTGTTTCCTTTTGTTCTAGAAAAAACTGAAAAATGCTTAAGCTAGAAACATTCAATGTCCCCCCTTAGTGTTAGTGAGGAGTTACCTTTATAGGCCTAGAAACAATTATTATATGGGGCAGATAATGGGTCTCCACAATAAGAAGGAATAATATTAGGGGTTTATTCCCCTAAGTGGACCTCGAGCCCAATTTTTGGAACAAAAATATATTAGATTTCTTGCCCTAAGGGGACAGACCACAGCCACCTAGGCTCAAGCCTTCAAGGTGAAGAACCTAAGAATTGTCCGATTATGGGTGAGTTAAGTTTGGACAAACTGATGACTTAGCATAAAAGCTTATGACATGGTAGGAACCGAGAGATTGCTACTTTAGCACAATGCTTTTTTAATATAAATGGGTGAGAGACCATTGTTAGCACATAGACTAACAGTCGAGAGACTACTACTTTGTGCTCCATTTAGTATTGTTAGAGTAGGTACTGAATACAGGTAGTAAGTAGTTGTATTGGAAACTTCTATACGAGCTGTTTACTTATTAGCATTAATTTTATAGAATTGTATATGTTCTGAATGTATTGTGCTAATGCATACCACCCAACATATATTACTATTTTATAGAATCAATTATAATAAAAACACCTAATAATTAGGAATCAATCATCCTAATTTCCTAGATCATGTAATGGTTAATTTCCTACAAATTTATAATAGTTGATTACATTCTAACACTCCCCTCCAAGCTGGAGCATATCTGTCATATGCACAAAGCTTGTTACAAATGTACTCAATATGAGAGTCTCTAAGGGACTTGGTGAATATGTCAGTCAACTGATTGCTAGAGTCGACAAAATGACAATCAATTTTCAATATGTTTGGTTCTTTCATGGAATACTAGATTTGATGCATTGTGAAGTGCAACTTGATTGTCACAAATAAACTTTGTTTCATGGATGTTCCCTATTTTTAGTTGTAGTAGTAGTTGCCTAAGCCACATACTCTCACAAGTGGCTGCTGTCATAGCATGATATTCTGCTTCTGCACTAGATTTGGCAACTATATTTTTCTTCTTGCTTCTCCATGAGATAAAGGTTTCCTCCGATAAGAACATAGTACCTAGAAGTGGATCTTCTTTCTAATGGTGATCCTGCCCAATCCGCATTAGAGAAATAAGTGATCTTAGTACTGCCTTTGTCTTGATACAATAATCCTCGTCCTAGAGCATTTTTTATGTATCAAAGAATATGTGTAACAGCATCCCAATGGCCATCACAAGGAGCATTTAGAAATTGGCTTACCACACTAACTGCAGAAGTGATGTCGGGTCTGGTGATGATGAGATAGTTGAGTCTGCCCAATCCACGACCGAAGTAGAGTTTGTTGTTGCAACCGCTATTGTGAATCAAGCCTTATGGCTGAGAAACTTTTTACTCGATCTTGGCCTGGAAAGAAGGAAAGCACAAAGATTCTTGTTGACAACCAAGCTGCAATTGTTATCGCTCATAATCCTGTGTTTCATGGTATGAGAAATAGAGAAGATTGGGAGAGAATATCCCTTGTGTGTGTTGCATACACATAGGGTAATTTATTTATATTGTAAGATATGGGCCAATGCCCTTAATACATAATAGACTAAGAACAAATAACAGAAACACACATCTTAACATCTAACACATGGAAAGACTAAAAACTTTAACATCAAGCTATTCTTCCTAAGGGAAGTACAAAAATATGGAGATGTGATTCTTATCTACTGCAAAACAGAAGATGAAGATCAAGTTGCATATCTTCTTACTAAACCATTGCCTACTTGCAAGTTTGAATTTTTAAGGTCAAGACTTGGAGTTTGCAACTCTTAAAGCAAGGAGAAGTGTTAAGAAAATGCTTTAGGAGTGTCTTACTGTTAATTTGATTGAGTCAAAGTCTGTTCCTGGTTTTTAGGAATTAGTTATTTTGTTTATTATGCTTTGCAGTGGTGGATTAAAATTAGGATCAAATTGTTAGTGGGTAGTTACTTTTTCAAGTTTTAAATATTGCAGCGTTTTCCATTAATTATACAGACGTTTTTTGGCTTCAATAGTGCTACAGTTTTTCTTTAGCTATAAGAGATATGACTAAATTATAATATATAAATTGTACAAACCTTTTCTTACAAGTTTGTTTTGTAAGGTTAAGTTAAACTTAAAATTCACGTTCTAAGAGTTATTGTTACACAATGTTATTTTGGATGGAGAAGTTATATAATTTTGGTTATGACTTAACTCAATCTTTCAATATTGAATTGTAAGATGAGTATTTCCTCCCTATTATCTACTTTAGTTTGGTCATATCATTAGTCAATGTCACATATTCAACACTGCAGTTCACATTGAGGATTGATATTTGTAGGGTGGTCTCAATGGCCGAAGAGCGGATGACTGAATTAACTCAACAATAATTCTTAAGATAGACTCTAATACTATTGTAGAGTTGTGTGCGAGTTAACTCAACTCTACAAAGTTAGTTTGTAAGGTGAGAATTGTCTCCCATTTATGTACTTAAATTTGACCATATCATTAGTGATTGGTTTGCCATAGGGTCAGGCTAGGCCTATAAATTGTACTCAATTTCGGATATGGGTTGGCCTCACTAGTCACACTTTTTCTACTTGGTCCATCAACTAGAGATGCACCACCCTGTTTGACACCTTTAGGTGTAAGATCTACAAGAAGCACCATCTAGGACAAATCTCTAAGTGATGTAAAGCTAATCCTGAACACAATGAAGGTGCTAGAAGCTGTGTTAGAATCCCTTCATTTTTGCTGCACTTAATGTTTTCTTGTACAGTTTTAACTACATAATTAGGAGATTTAATTACATTCATAACTAAGAGGATAATTTGGATGATATTAATAGGCTGACATTATATTTTATATTTATTGTTACAAGATCATTGATCCTGAATTGTAGGGATAGGTTATATCCATCATAAATTAGATTAAGTCTTTGTATTCTATTTTTCGTCTATTTCTCCCGTATGAATAATATCAGAAACAAATTTTCTGACAGGCCGTGATGGAGGCAAACCATAGAGTCCATAACTAAGACAGTTTTCCATTTCCTATATATTGACCATGATTAAACGATTGAGTTGTAGACTAGTGCCCTTGTTCCATGAACAATCTGGTTATAAAGTAAGTAGTCTATAGTTTATACATCTAAAACTAAGGTAAGAGGATAAGTGCTACTGGTCAACCATTGGTTTAATCCAGTAATTATAAGGAAGTCCTCTCCTTTCTTTGACTCTCCTTTTAATTAAACTGAATTTCTGAATGAGCTAAGATGGCCATGTGCTGTGTCACAATTGAAGCCTACGTGAATTTTGTATGAGGGTAAAAAAAAACTCTTCATAACCTTACCTTGTAGCATTGTTTATCCCTGTCATACACCATTTTTTGCCAACATAATTGTTAAAAAATTACCAAATTAAGAATGCCAGAGCCTGCAATTTTGTTCCACTTGTTTCTGTACACAGATACTTTTGAAGTGAAACTGTAGCAGTGATGTAAAGTTAACTCTTGGTTGGTGTAAAAAATCTTGTAATATATTTTGTTAGAAATTCATTGGATTTATGTGCTGATTGTATTCTTTGATGTGTAAAATTAACTTTTAATACTTGTGCAGGCTGAAACCACTGTAATAAACCAGTGCAACCAGCTTCTTTCACCATCAACTGATCCTAGTTATGTTTTGACCTATATCAGTCATAGTTTCCCTCAGCATCGACAATATCTATGTACTGGTGCATTGATATTAATGCATGGCCATGCAGAAAATATTAACAGTGGAAACCTGGTATCAATCTTTTAACTGCCTTCTTGATGCTTCCCATTTTACCATTACCTTTTTAAATTTACTATGAAACATATTGTTACGTACCTGAGTTTGGGCCGTAACCAGTAGGCTCACTCACACACTCGCACAGATAAGGAACACTGGAAATTTACTGAATATACCGCTGCTATTGAATAGAAAATACTGCACCAAAGATAACAACCAATAACTGGGAGCAGGATTCTCCAGTTCAGAGGTTCTTCCTGGCGTCCAACTCCATGCGGCACATTACCCCTGTCACTGTTCGATCCATCTCCTTCCCTACCAAACGGTCTATCGCCGTTTGGTTCTTCATCTTTCTTGCCCTCCTCTCGTTGATTTTTCTATTGACGGACCCTTGACTTCCTTCGTGTTTCCCGTCTAGGTATGGGGTTCGTGTGGTCATTACTCTCATTAGTTCTTGAAAATTCTTGCAGAGTGCGTCCATCTTGGTTTCCACCACGCCTATGGACACTTGCATGCTTTCCTGACTTAACCCCACGTGTTCCAATTTGATTTCGACGACGCTCATCCTTCCCTCCATGACGTCCTCTCTCTTTTCTGTCGCACCGGCTGGCCTCGTATTCTCCCTTGTCGGATCCGGCAGGTCGGACCAATTGTTAGTTTGGGCCGTAACCAGTAGGCTCACTCACACACTCGCAAAGATAAGGAACACTGGAAATTTACTGAATATACCGCTGCTATTGAATAGAAAATACTGCACCAAAGATAACAACCAATAACTGGAAGCAGGATTTCCGTCAGTTACCTGAGAGTATAACCTCTCTTACAAATCTCACACATAAAAAACATATCTTTAACCATAGACTCTAACTTTATTTATACTAATCACTCTCTCCCGAAAAGGTAAAGAATCATAGTAATTATGCCTATTTATTAAGATTATCGGGTAAGAATATCTTCACCCTTATTTACTATATTTAATTTATATTTAATAATATCCTGAGATACGCCCTTAAATTCTAATAAATTTCCCGCCCATCCTAACTGCTGTGTCAGTTAGGATGCTCCTCGCTGCTCCCCACCGTTTGGCCCTCTATCCCTCTTCCTTCTACCGCTCGGTTAAGTCTCTATCCACCTTCTATCATCTGGTCCGCTCGTCCCCTGTCACTAACCGTTCGGCCATCGTGCTCCCTCTTCCTTCTACCGCTCGGTTAAGTCTCTCTCCCCCTTCTATCATCTGGACCGCTCGTTCCCTGTCGTTAATCGTTCGGCCCATATCCTCTACCGTTCGGTCCTCTTTCTCTCTTCCTTCTACCGTTCGGTCTTTGTGCTCCACCCTCTCCACCGTTCGACCCATATCCTCTACCGTTCGGTTTCCCTCTTTTTCTCTCCTATATCTCTTTCTTTCATATACTCGCCAGCCCCTATCCTCTACCGTTCGGTTTCCCTCTTTTTCTCTCCTATATCTCTTTCTTTCGGATACTCGCCAGCCCCTAACACATTCATATATAGAAATTTTTCTGCGTATTCCAATTTAACTTTATATTCTTTCTTGGATAGCTCTTTCGATTATATTTCTAAAGTTCTTGCTAGTTGATTTAATGTTTTCTATATTTATCTAGGGACGTGTCCTGCGGGAGTTCTCTCCTGAAGAGGTGACATCTAATATTTACACAATGGTGGACGTTCTGCTTCATCATATGCAGATAGAGCTTCAACAAGGACACTCCTTACAGGTTAATTGCTATAATGTGGCTTTATTCGATTACTTCTGTTGGTTGGTGGCTGTACATCTCCTTTTTCATATGCTTGCTCTTTACAGGACCTGATGTTAAAAGCTTGTGCAAGCCTTGCCTTTTTTGTTTGGACTAATGAATTACTTCCTTTGGATATCTTGCTTCTGGCACTTATTGACCGTGATGATGATCCACATGCTTTGCGTATTGTGGTATGTATATACGTTCGAACTCTTTGATTGTATATTTTTATATTTCTCATGAATATATTGAATCCCCGTTGGCCCTCCTTTCCAAAATTAATTAATGATAGAATGAAAAAGAAAATACAAAAACAGATTAAATTTGGTGATAGTTATATTGTGTATTTTTATTCTGTTACCAAATAGTCTATTCAATTCTCCTTAAGATGTAATTCCTTCAATTTGTTTCATTGTTTTCGAATTTTTATTCACACAAATCTGACATAGTAGCAATGTTTAAGTGTTTATAATTAAATTATGATTCAGTTGAGATGTTTGAATATATATGGGTAACAATCTTGAGTTTATTAACCAAACACTCAGCTTTATTTTTGTGTGTATATGTAAAAAAAGGCTGAAACTAATGTACACCTATTAAAGTCCAAAACAACAGGGTGTGCACCTATTGCAGAAGGCTACAATCGATATAAAAGATGAAAAGCAACTTTTGTACTTTCAATAAAACATTATTATATCATACATAAATCTTGCACTCTTGTGTAAGATATAACATATTGGTCGTATGTACTAAGTTTAGAACATATGAATTTGTTAGAATTCCCATATCGAATAAAGATAAAATCAAATTATAGTGTATAAGTGGCTGCAAACTTTACCTTTCACATTGATTTTGTATGATTGAGTTCAGTTTAAAGTTCACTTTCTCATATGTTATCAAATTATGTTTTAACGAGGTTTGTTGGACCTATTGTATCTACCTGTAAATGTCTAATTCCAAGCTTGAGATGTTGAGTCTTCGGCATGCAGGAGTGTGTTGTAGATCTCATATTGACTAGAGAAAAAACCAAACTATAATACATTAGAGGGTCCAAATTTCACCTTACGAGTCATTTAGAGGGTTGAAATATGTTTAAAGTCCACTTTCTTAGATAATTAACCTCTCTCGAGGTGTTGTCAAGACATCTACAAGGTGATCGTTTGAGCTGATAAACTTAGTTCTCATTTCTGAATTTGATTCCCCCTCAAGTCTTGGTGAAGACATCTACAAGGTGCTCATTTGAGCTAATAAATTTAGTTCTCATTTCTTTCCGTAGTGTCTTATCATGAAAAAAATGAGAATAATTTTCTACATGATTAGTTATTGTCAGCAATCATATTTCATTATTCCACATTTAACAAATTATAATTAAAGTATATAATGAAAATATCTTTGGATCATAGGGATATAATTATATGAAGAATGGTAGGGACTTGATTTTATCCGTGAATCATAGGGATCTCATCACATTAAGTGTTGTTATTATATTTCCAAAATTAGTTTCCCAATCTTGTCTATATATATATATATATATATATATATATATATTAAAAAGAATTAATATGAAAGAAAGAAGATTTTTATTCGATTGATTCAAAATGGTACATCCACTTCTATATATAGAGAACTCAAACTCTAAAGTAAAATTACAAGAGATCTATAGAATCTTCTAACAACTTCAACTAATTAAATATCGTACCTACAATTTTCAATACTGTATTTAATATCCAACTAACAACACTCTCTCTTAAATTAGTGAATGGATATCAATCATTCCCAGCTTGCATGTGAGATCACGAAATAGCTCAATAGGAAGACCTTTTGTAAACAAATCTACTAACTAAAGTCCAAATGCGAGGTAGGAAGTAGTGATAAGGCTACTATCCAATTTCTCATTAATAAAGTGTCTATCCATCTTTATGTGTTTTGTCCTATGAAGCCGAACTAGATTGTGAGCAATGCAAATAATTGACTTATTATTACAATATAGGATCATAGGTTCTTCACATTCCACCTTGAGATCATTTAGAATAGTTCTCATCCACAATAATTCACACACCCATTGTGCTATAGCTGGGAATTCATCCTTGCACTAGACTTTGCAACAACATTTTGCTTCTTCTCCAAGTCACCAAATTTCCACCCAAGAACATGCAATATCCTAAGGTGGATTTCCTATCAATGACAAACCACTATCCAATTTCTCATTAATGAAGTGTTGGTATATCTCTATGTGTTTGGTCCTATCATGCTGAACTGGATTGTAAGCAATGCTAATAGCGGACTTATTATCACAATAAAGGATCATAGGTTCTTCACAAGCCACCTTGAGATCATTGAGAATAATTCTCATCCTCAATAAATCACACATCCCTTGTGCCATAGCTTGGAGTTCAGCCTTGCACTAGACCTTTCAACAACATTTTGCTTCTTACTTCTCCAAGTCACCAAATTTCTACCCAAGAATATCCAATATCCTGAGGTGGATTTCCTATTGATGACCGACCCTCCATAATCCTTAGGGTCAAGGCCAATGTAAGTTTGGCCACAATAAGATTTGCGTGAATTTTTAAAGTATTCTAAATTGCAAATTGATCCTAAATTTGTTAAATTAAATTTAAATTTGCCTTGATTGATTTTTACTATTTACTACTTAATTGAAAAGATAGGTCCAACCCAACATGTCGGGCTTGGCCGACTTAACCCAACTTGGGTTTAGCTTGACCTGACATTGTCGGACACAGGTCTGTCTTTGGCCAACTTGGTCTAAGCCTTAATAAATACGGTTTGATCTAAACTTGGCCTGACATGAGCCTGATTCGACTTAGCTTGACATTGTCTAACTCCAATTGACCCATTGTGACCATGATTCTACTTGGTTTCACGTGGGCTGGTTATACTCTACTCGATGTGGATAAGACATGACTTGGCCTAATGTGGTTATGACTCATTCGACTCAACATGGGCTTGACTCTACTTTGCCTGACATGGACCTAACTCGACTCTACTTGACTGATATGGGTGACTTGACTACACTTGTGGTGGGCTTGTTTGACTAAGCTTGAGGTGGGCCCGACTAGACTTGGCCCAACTCGGCTTGACTTGACTTGGTCTTGCATGGACCTAACTTGATGAAGCCCAACATGGGTACAACTTGACTTGGCTTGATATTAGCCCACTTTACTTGGCCCAATCTGGGTCGTACTCGACTCTGTCTGAGGTGCGCTTGACTCGACCGAGGTGCACTCAACTGATCTTGCCTTGAGGTGTGCCTAACTCGATTGTGCTCGATGGTGCTTGACTTGACTCGGCTTGATAGTTGTTCAACTTGACTTGGCCTAATGTGGGCTTGACTTAAACTGGCCAGACATGGGCTTGATTCGACTTGGCATTATGTATACCCTATCAACCTAGGCTTGACCTAGACCTCACCAGACCTTGCAAAACCCAACTAACCTACTTGACTTGGGCCCAACCCAACCGCATCCATCTTGACTTGACTCGAAAAAACTCGGTCTCTACCTAACCTTACTTGGCATAGGCTTGACCTAACTTGGCCCGACATGAGTGATCTCATCCTGATTTGTCTTCCCTAAAATTGGACTCAGCCTAACTTGATTTTTCTCATACTAAATTTGGATTTGGATTGATTAAATGTTTTTCATGTGAATAAAGATTTTTTTTAAGTAATTTTTTTTTTCATTTTCAATTTAGATAAGCTTTTAACTTTAGATAATGGCCCATGGGTTGGCCCTAGTCCATGGGGCTTTTGTTGGCATTTTGACCATGTGGACTTTTTCTTATATGGGGTTTTTGGTCCTATGGGCTTTTTTGGTCCCAACCCATGTTGGTTTGGGACAAATCGTGTGGATTGAGCCACATTAATAGGTCTAATAATCTCTTTGAAGGAAGCCTTAAATGAGACAAATATTACACAAACAAAAAGACAAATATTATACTAAACGTAAATCTCGTTGAAATTGTGATTATTATTCTATAGTTCAATTTTCAGACAGCTTCTTTTTGGGTGGATGTATATCTATCCCTAAGGATTGAGTGTAATAGGTTATATAGCTATTCCTTGTTTTGGACACTTGTATTTGTATTTATATGAAATGAATCAGCTGAGAAAACTACTCATTGATTTTTTGTCACCTCTAAATTTAGGTAATCTAAAAGAATTATTTCAAAATCAGTTCTCAAAATTCTTTTCCTTCTACTGGATTAATGAGATTCCACTGTCAGATTTCACATTTTGGGTTTCATGCATAGGTCAAACTATACAATATGCAATTTAGTTTTCTTCTGGTGTGCTTTAACTTTTCAGCAATATCATATTCTATTGACAAATCATTGAGTTGCGTACCAATTTTCCTTCAAAGGGATGAAAACTAATGTTGCAATAAACAGTATCTCAACAGCACATTATACAAAGAAACCCGATCATTAAAAAAATCATCAATAATTGGAGGATATGATCGCAAATGATCTATTAGAATTATAAAGTAGGGGAAATTGAGCTTCAGTGTTTTTCTTATATTAAGATTAATTGTGTTATGGCAATAATTGCAGATTAGTCTACTTGATAGGCAAGAGCTTCAGCAAAGAGTAAAGCTCTTTTGTATGACTCGTGGGTTCCCCGAACATTGGCTTTACTCAGGAATATTCAAGCGAGTTGAGCTACAAAAGGCTCTTGGAAATCACCTTGCATGGAAGGATCGGTAAATTCTTTTCCAACAATGAGAAACCATGTCATTTTTGCTTAGACAGCATGCCTTATTTTATTCATCGTGGTTGAGAGGAACATTATTGAAAATGGATCTTTCAAACCAATAAATTTGAGTTATATACGGTACCAAAAAGGAGCTTATAATGTTCATATATTTCTAAGAATTACAAGCAAATTACGTAAATAAATCATTGGAGACCTATAAATGTTTCTCAACTGAAACATTAAATAAGAATGAAAAAAATAGATATAAGAGATTGATGATGGTAATAATGGATGGATGAATATAAATCTCTAGTAGAGTTTTTTTCTTTTATTCAGTTCTTTGAGCTTGTATCTTGTACTCCAGAATTTATATAAATAAAGTAAAAAACTTATTTGAAAATAAGAGCACAAAAGTTCAAAGTCATAGTACAAGACAACCTCTAATTCTTGAAGTTACTAGAGAAATAAAAATAAAAGGTGATATAATTATTATATAAATAAGGCAAGTATCGTATATAATCAAGAATATCTATTATATATGTATTATTAGGAATGTTTTTATTTATGCCCATATCATCTCTTTATTATTAGAAGATATCAAGTTTTCTCTATTTATTGTATTTGTTCCTTTTTTCTCAATATAAATAAAGCTTCAATGTTATCTTAAAAACACGGTTTCAACTAAATATCTCTCTTTTTCCTTCAGTTTAATGTGGTATCTAGAACCCTTTACAAAACCGTGTTGGTCCAATAGACTCATTGTGTCTGGAAGATTTTTATTTGGCAAACCTTTGTTCCAGGTTTGTGTTTATTAATCCGGCACTGCCTCTGGCAAATGTTCTAATGAAATTTACTGTGACCACCATTTTCTTTGGTGTGCACAGGTGCTGATCTATTCAAACGTTGATGGAAACCGTCCATCCACACATCCTCACACAACTTTTTTCCTGCTCTGCTTAGGTTATTTTATTATTATTCTTTTTTCCAAATTTCAAGAAGAAAATGTCTTCCAATGTCACATTAACTTCCATAACGAATTCTCCCACTGTTATAACCATAGTTATTATTGAGCAGATGGATGAGTTTAATAATTCCACTTGAGCTTCTAAGACGGGGTTGTGGTTAAGCTGGCTTGATTACAGATCCCATCTCACTACAACCACTGAATTCGTTCCTACAAAACAACATGAACAATGGATAAAAATTGATGCTTAACTATGTAGTGTTATTAATTCCACCATTCAAACGTCACTCAAACCTATTTTCCATCCCCATAAACAATGGTAGAACCCGATGTTCAAATTCTTTAATGGAACAATTAAACAGTTCAACTGACAGTAAAATAGTCACGGACCGACCACTGAAGCATAAATTTCACACTAATCAATAAAGCTAATGAGGAGTATTCACTAACATTCTATACTCAAATTCCACTACACCCAAACCATTACTCTAGTTGACATTGAGTTTATTCTTTTGCATAACTGTATTGAATGTACAAGACACACAACAGGTGTGCAAAGTGAAATAAGAAGAATTAAAAATCACAAGATTTAATGGGGTTCAACTAGCCACATAGCTTAAAAATACCAAGAGTGTTGTGAAAAGAAGCTGTGCCAAAATTTGAATAGTAACTTACAAAAACATTCCCAAAATTCTTGTTGATAAGAAAACGTGGGAAAGGAAGAGAGAGAGAAGAAATATTTTATTAATTACTATCATGATTATTAAATTCTGAACTCCTCTATTTGTAACAGTCATACTCTTAAAATGGGAAATGAAAAACATCTTAAATGAATGTGTCGATTCTAGAGATATTTTTCCTAATAACTATAGAGGTATTTTTATATATGAACTGATGCTGTCGGCAACGAACTTTCCAGGTATCCTGTGTTTTTTGATGATATTGCAGCACGTTTACTTCCGGTCATCCCCTTAATTATATATAGACTTATCGAAAATGATGCAATGGATACAGCAGAAAGAGTATTGGCCATGTATACCCATTTGCTTGCTTATTACCCTCTAAGATTTACATTTGTTCGGGATATACTTGCATACTTCTACGGTCATCTTCCTGGAAAGCTTATTGTTCGAATCCTCAATGTACTTGATGTCAGTAAGGTAACAAACTTTATTTTCTCTTGCTAGCCTTCTTGTCTTGAAATTGTTTTACTTGAAAATAGTCTTTTTCTGCAACAATCATTGAGTCTGTATTTCTTTCAGATTCCCTTTTCAGAGTCATTCCCTCAACAAATAAGTTCGACAAATCCAGTCATGTGCCCTCCTCTAGATTATTTTACAACTCTGTTACTGGGAATAGTGAATAATGTTATTCCTCCATTACATAACAATTCAAAATCTGGATCAATGGGAGATGCATCAAACAATACACTGCGTCCTACACAAAACAAGCCTGCTGCAGTATCCCAGTCTGGGCCAGCAAATGCTTCAGAGGGCCAAAAGGCATTTTACCAAATTCAAGATCCGGGAACATACACTCAGTTGGTTCTTGAGACTGCTGTTATTGAAATACTTTCCCTTCCGGTATCTGTCTCTCAGATAGTACAATCACTTGTTCAAATTGTTGTTAATATACAACCAACCTTGATCCAGTCCAGCAATGCTCTTCATGGTGGTTCAAATAGTGTAGGGCAGGGTTCAGTGTTGCCAACATCACCTTCAGGTGGAAGCACAGATTCCTTAGGTGCAAGCCGATCAACTCCTTCAGTTTCTGGAATAAATACCTCTAACTTTGCTTCTCGAAGTGGTTATACATGTCAACAACTATCTTGTTTGTTAATTCAAGCTTGTGGCCTTCTACTGGCTCAGCTTCCCTCTGATTTTCATTCACAACTTTACTTGGAAACGACACGTATTATAAAAGAGAACTGGTGGCTTAAGGATGGGACAAGGTCACTTGGGGAAATAGATTCTGCAGTTGGCTATGCATTGTTAGATCCAACATGGGCTGCACAGGACAATACCTCTACAGCAATTGGTATGGTTTGGCGGAAGGGTTTTATTCTACTAAGCTGCTTGCTTAAATTTTGCATTATATTTTTAGTTCTATATCATCAATCTGTCTTTGATATTAAAAAGTGTGACTTGTGTGAGATTTTTTCTTATCTGAAATATTGATGATTTGTATCCAACAGAATGGATTTGCTTTATGCAGCAAGGGTAAGCTATAGTTTTGCATGTTGAAGTTTATGCGACTCAAAATGTTATGTATGAAGATATTGTTTTACTCAAATCAGGGTAAAATAATTTATGTATGAAGTGTGACCAACCAACTGGGTAGAAGTTCTAGAAGATTTTTCTAAGAAATTTATTTCATTGGCTTGAGATTACTTTAATCTTTTGTTCTAGAATATGGACTGAAATAGGTTTTAAAATTTTCTATATTGTTTCCGAACAGATTTCTTTAATCTTTTGTTTGTAGATGAATATATTTGGAATTAAAGGATGACCAAAAATCATTTAGTATTTTCGCGGCTGATGTATTATATGTATATATCAATATACACAAAAGTGTGTGTTTGTGTGTGTGTATGAAAAGTGAGGACATAGCCTTGTGACTCTTAGCCCTTTAGCAAGGGTACTTAAGAATGGTAGCTTTTTAAGAGCTGTACAACAAATAATAAATAACTATTTGAACAATTACTAGGTTTTGGTACCCCACCCTATCATCTAGGATTTCTGTAGAATTTAAAGTGTAAATTACCTTTATGACGAGTGCTAGCTAGCAATATACTTTCTAACACACCCTTACCAAGATCCGTAGGGAATTGTGAGATCATGAGACCTGATGGGGAACCGAGCCCACTCAATTTCAGGATTTCCCATCAAATTTAGTAAAATATGTGTTTAAGAGGGTGTCTTGCTGACATTTTTTCTTTGAATAAAGCTCAGTGGTATATAGTTTACTGCTTTCATTTAATTAGGTGAATTTCAATCTATTTCTTGTTATTGTTTGTGCCTTATAAGGACTCTGACCTTTTGTGTAATCACAGGGAATGTGGTGGCCTTGCTTCATTCTTTCTTCAGTAACCTCCCTCAAGAATGGCTTGAAGGGACCAATGTCATTATCAAGCAGCTTCGGCCTGTAACATCAGTCGCCCTGTTGAGAATAGCTTTCCGTATAATGGGGCCACTCCTTCCAAAACTTGCCAATGCTCATGCACTTTTCAACAAGGTACAGGAAATCAACAATTCCACTATCTTGAGAAAATATTCTGATAGAACTAGATTACTTATGAAGAGAAATGAAATTTTATTCAAGATATTGCTCTGTATTAATGAAATCCTTTAACAAAAGAACTCTCACCCTAGTATTGTAGAATCCTAATTCTCCATGGTCAGGCAGGGTTTTTTATTTTCCGGCTCAGGGAGGGTTCTTTATTTCGAGTCACAGATACTATAAACAAACATCTGCCATGGATAATTGCTAGCCTATGCTCCATATCTCTTCTGGTATCCGCTGATATTATTATCACTTTGTGACATCAGAAACTTCTGTCCGAAAATTATAAAATTAGATTCAAAGAGTTTTCACTGATAGTTACAAGGTCTCGATCTCATGATAAATAACTGTCATCCCTGTGAGTTGACTTCTGTCTTATAGTTTCTTGACATTGTAGTCTTCCAGAATTAAGATCTTTCCAATTTGTGTTTCAAGGTGGGGAAATATTGTCCCAAACGGTAAGTTTCTAGTTCCTGAACAATTTATGAATAGTGAGCAACCAAATTATATAAGTAACAAACTTTTTCTATTTGAGGCATTGAAATTGTTGCAGTAGGATATAGTCAGAATTTGTCTGCTCACATATCAATGACTAGAGGTGCTGAAGCTCAACCAATGTCACAGTTTAGCCCTTGCTGATTTATTTTTCTGAGAGCATACTTTCTTGACCAAAATTATTTAAACCATAACAACCTCGTTATAGATATACTTTTAGGATTTTATCATATACTCATATCTCATGGGTTTTTTGCCCATATTTTTTATGGTATATCGGATCTTTGATACTGGTGGTCACTAAAATTGGGGTATTGATGGTTTTACTCTCACTTGAAAATGACAGACTCTCTCATCATTACTAAGTATATTAGTGGATGTATTTGGAAAAAATTCCCAGACAACGATTGCTGTTGATGCGTCAGACATAGCAGATATCATTGACTTCCTGTAAGTGTTACTGAATTTTTATAAAATGACCTTATTACTAGTTCTGAAATCCTGATCTTCTACTTTACCACTTGATTTTCAGCCATCATGTCGTCCACTATGAGGGACAGGGAGGGCCTGTGCAGGCTAGCAGCAAACCACGACCAGATGTTTTGGCCCTCATTGGAAGGGCATCAGAGAGTTTACGTCCAGACATTCAACATCTGCTTTCACACCTAAACCCTAATGTGAATTCCTCTGTATATGCGGCATCTCATCCTAAGTTAGTCCAAAATCCAACCTAGATGCTACTGTATTATATATACTTTGAAGATTCTGGCTCTAGCTGATGACAAATACACAGCATGATTTAGAAATTGTATGAACTAAGAGTTGTATATAAAACAATGTATATACTATTCATTTCATTTCTCCCAAAACTTTATCAGAAATAATAGTAGAGTTGTTAAACAGTAATATAATCTATCCCACGGTAATATTAGCAACTGTAATATAATCGTTTGGCTCAATAGAGAAGTGTCACATGCAAAGACTATTTGGGAGATGGCAAATAAATTTGGAGTTAATGGTGGTAAGGAAAATATGATAATTGAAAAATTGGTTCAGATGAAAAAAGAGGGAGTGCCTAAAAGTTAATACTAATAATAGGAAGGGAAAAGAAGGAGAATTTTGTCATTTAATATTAGGGGGTTGGGACAGAGGTTGTAGATAGGGATGACAACGGGTCGGACATAGATAGTGTCTATCCGTAACTGAACTCACACGTTAAAATCCTTATCCGTACCCGTCCCGTTAGCCTTTAAAAAAAATATAATTTTTAGAAATAAAATTGGGACCATGTTCAAATCCTTTATTTCATAAAAACGGTTCAAAAGTCCAAATTACCTTTTTTATTAAGTTTTCTTTGAAAATGGGTAGTGTCCAAATTTTTTTTTAGGTTGTCTTCCTTATGTAGTAAAAAATAAAATAAATAAGCATTAAAAAAACTAAAAAGGCTTAACAATCATTAAATCAGTGAGTCGTAAGGTGCCTGCTGCAAAACATAAAAAAGGCATAAAATAAAAAGGCTCAACAATAAAAAATGGTTAAATATGTTTTTGGTCCCTTAACTTTTAATGAAAATTGGAATTAGTCCCTCTTTAAAATTTTGGCCTAATTTAGTCCTCAAACTTTAGAAATGTGTGAATTTTGTTCTTTTAACTAAATTTTGTTAGGTTTATTTGATGTTTCAAGTGCGTTTTATGATAGCATTTGAGTTNTTTTAATGAAAATTGGAATTAGTCCCTCTTTAAAATTTTGGCCTAATTTAGTCCTCAAACTTTAGAAATGTGTGAATTTTGTTCTTTTAACTAAATTTTGTTAGGTTTATTTGATGTTTCAAGTGCGTTTTATGATAGCATTTGAGTTGTTTACACCGTTTGACACATTTTTGCTTCAATGTTAACTGAGAAATGCGTTTGAAACATCAAATAAAGTTCATAAAATTTAGTTAAAATGACTTTTGGGGACTAAATTGGTCCAAAGTTTCAAAGAGGGACTAATTCCAATTTTCAATAAAAGTTAAGGGACCAAAAACATATTTAACCTAATAAAAAATGCAGAGTAATTTAGGGATGCATAAGGAAGTCATAAGGTGGTTGCAAAAGAAGATAGGGTTCGTTTCCTTCAGCATAGAGAAAAGGAAGTTGCTTTCTTCTTCCACGGGTGGATCCTCCATGGTTACTGCTAGGATCAACAGGTTTATGGCCATCCACCCTCCATGGTTACCGCTAGGATCAACAGGTTTCTGGCTAGCCGCCATGACCATCGTGATATCTGAAATGCCAACAGAACAAAATCCTTTCTTTCTCTTATTTTTCAGAAATGGCAAACCCTAAGGGTCGTTCTCGCTTTGTTTGTCGTCGTCCCTGCTTCGATTTCACGTGGAATGGAACGCACGTTGTATTTGGACCGAGATTTGTGGAGAGCGGCACACTCATCAGCACGCAGAGGATCGACGCCATGAAATGGGGCTTGCGACTGTTGCGCTGGCGGAAGGAAACCCATTGAACTTCATTTTTTTTATCTCTCATTCAATGAGGGCAATGGAAATGAAAGAATAATGTAGGAGAAAAAATAGTGAGATTTAGGTTTGACGACACAACAGACACTTGGAAAATAATTTAATGGAAGAAGGATAAAATTGTAATTTCATTTTTCAAACGGGTAACGGATACCCACGAATACGGATAGTGTGATACCCGAACCCGACCTGTTAACAAGCGGGTATTAAAATATCTGCTATCCGTGGGTACTTCTTACTCCCGGGTACCCAAGGGTACGGGTTTTTATGCCATCCCTAGTTGCAGAAGGTTGTGAAGAAACTAGCAAGGCTTTTACTTCCTGCATCCCTTCAATTTCTTCATGCATCTCTCAAACATTTGTAATGACCATTTTACCCTTTAGAAAATTGACTCTCAGGTTACATGTTATGAAGCAGTTTAATAGCCAATTTTTTTACCAGTTTCGTTGACAAATCTCAATTTAGTCATTCGTTTTAAAAGTTTTGAAATGGGTCCTAACTTTTAAAATTTGAAGTCAAATTAGTCCATTCTGTTAAATATAATCAAACGGCCTTAATGAGGTGATGATCTTGCATCAGTTAGTGGTAACGTGTCATAATTTATTTGTGTGCATGCTGACGTGTTCCTTAATTAAAGAAGGTAGGGTTTTATTAACAAATTGGGTGTTGGAAATTAGGGAAAAATTGCCAATAGTTAGGGTTTCTTCTTCTTGGGGAAAAATTGAGTTAGGAAACTACCACCGTCAAACCCATACGTTGATCGAAACGAAGCACTTAAAGATGCAAGCTTATAAAACTCAAACTCAAATCAACACACGAAGAGAGGAAACCCAGACCCAAATTCAAAACCGAAAACCTCACCTTCTCAAATCGCAAAACAGAAAAGAGGATCAGAAGCTCCAATTCAAGCCTTGAATCAACGAAGAAGAAATAGAATCTTAATCCTAATTCCCAATTTAAGAAACCCTAAATTCAATCCCAATTCGAAATTCCCATTGAGGGTTTGTGAGTCAGAGTTGTCTCTGTAGTCGGCGATTGAGGGTTTGTGCGAGGAATGGTGGAAGGAAAATTTGGTGGGAAGGGAGTCGCTGATTTCGCAAAGTCTCCGTTTCCTATTGTATAGGTCGCTCACGCTCAGCAAGAAGGTGGACGTGCACAAGGTCTGCCTGCTCCGTGAGGCGTTCACTCTGTTCGATTTCGACGAGAGCATCGATGACTTGAAGCTGTTGCTGATTCAGTGTATGATTTTGCCCTTGTATTTGAAAGCGGAGGATGAGAGGAGATTTCATGCATTTGTCTTTGGGCTGAGCCATCAGGTTTTAGGAAGGAACTGTTGGTGATGATTCTGTCCCAAATTCCCTTCGGGAGAAAGTCGATGCTGGAGGCTTATGGGGGACATTCTGTTTCGAGCGTCG